TTATAATGTAAACAGACAAACTTACTGATGGCTCAGATTTTCAGAAAAGTTGGATGTGCAACTGGTTGTGCAAAATATCTGTGCAATTATCACAAATTAGTGTTCAAGTTGGGTAAGTGTACATGCCTATGGATAACTGTGGCAATTTGCACTACAGTTACCTGATTTATGTATAATTATGGTAACTGTGCATGAAATTCTATACAGGTTCTTACACCGCACTCTTCACCATAGTTGAGCGCCTTCCCGCAGTGCTTTAAGCGACATGACTAATGTCTCTCATGTGTTCTCTCATCCTTTCCTCAAGGAAAAAACTGTGCATTTGTTATGGTAGGACACACACACTGCTGTGTGTTTATACTAAAGACAAGGTCAAAGAAACATGCCTTGCACTTGGTGCAGAAGGTGATGAGGTCTGTGAGGGTCCTTAGTTCCTTTAGGAGTTTATTATACAGTCACTCAGTTCCACAAGCTCACCTTTTTGAACGTATAATTGCATATCCAACTTTTCTAAAAATCTGGGTCTATATGACAAACTTTCATGGTTCATGGCTTCATGGTTTGCAGGAGAAATACAGCACCATACTAAAAAAGTTTTATATCCCCAGGGCTCATCTTACAAATGTTTCAGACATAACACAAACTCAACAGCGAACAATAAGAGATTTTTCAGTTCAGCATTCACCTAATACAAGGAGACTAAAGAATATAGTCATGCCACTAGATTGCTCCTCTTGCTGAGCTTGGACTCCAGTCTGCACTGGAAGGATAGGTTTGGCAGGTGTAGGAGCCACCAGTTTAGTAGTAACGGACAGCGTGGTGTGAAGGGTGACATTGAGGACTTCATGGGTAGCATTTGAGAACCTGTCAGGGCAATACAGAACATGATTAGACTTAGCAAAAGCTCGACATTGTGGGGGAGGTCAGTCAAGGGAAAGCACAAAACTACTGAAAGATTAAAAACATCACCAACAAGTTACCTTGGAAACAAAATTAATGATAATAACGTGCAGCTGTCTTAAAGAAGTGGTCCCTAATAATGGGCGCATGTGCAAGTATTAGAATTTCAGGCTCATGGAATAATTTATTGTTGAATTCTTTCACTCACTGTGTGCAAAGAATACTTTGCATTGGAGCTGGGATTTAGCACACAGATGAATGGAAGGTGTGCAGTGTTGACAGGGACATATTTTGTTTAGTTTGTCCAGTGGTACAAATCTACTGTAATACAAATAAGACATCTCCATGGAGGTGCCATGGCTTTGCATTTGCACGCTACTGTACCAGGCAAAGTGGCAATATTTTGATGGAACCTCCCCCTATACTTTAAATACTGCATCAGGACATTTGATGACCATTCTTTGCCTTGTTACCATGTTAAAATTGGGATGCTCCTTAAATGCCCACAATCCACACCAGTACTGGTATCTTACGATTCCCTTAATGGCACTTAAGCCTTCCCACCTTTAAAGATAAACCCCTCTGCTACACCCCAATGCACCAGTTCTGCCTGACCATCATTTGACCATGCATGTCCTATCCACGGGGCTTGCACCGGGCCAAATCTCAACTGTAAGACAAACACACACCTGCCGGGGCGGTCTGGCTCACTCACAACCCACGGGAAGGGAAGGGGCAGGCCCCAGCCCGTTCAGATGAGCCTCGCAGAGTTGCCCCTGGGTTAATTTGTGCATCAGTGCATGTGTGCTGGGCAGGGGCCCGTTGGGCCTGTACAAACGTGGCAGCGGGACCAGACAGCCCCGTTCCACGGGGGGCCCGCAGCGGCTGCGCTGGGCAGACCCATTTCACGGGGAGAGGGCCTTGCGATCCTGCACCGGGTGGCACCGTTTCACAAGGGGCCCAGCAGGGCCCATGGGGGGCGGGGCGGCACAGCCAGCTATGCACTCACTGGATAAGCCAGGGCATGAAGCTGGGGGGAGGGGTGGCTACCCCTGTCCTTGCCCCTCCCTCACAGCGAGAGCCCCCGGCCTGAAATGAGGGGCTCGGCCTCCCGCCCCCTCTAGAGGGTGGCCCCGCTGGGGAGAGGACCAGGTCCCCCACCCCCGCCCTGCAAACTCTCCCTTCGTCCCGCAGCGCCCTAAAGAGAATCAACTCACTCCACTTCCGCCATCGTGCCGCTCGCCCCGCCCCGGCCCGCGCCGCCCCGCCCCTTCCTCCGGAGGCCTCCACAGCGCTCAGGGCCGGGAGCGGCTGCGCAGGCCGCCTCCTGCTTCCGGGTTCTGCCGGCGGCGGCGCTCTAGGCAACCCTGTGGTGAGAGAGAGGGCGGGGCGAGGGGACATGCGTAGGCGATGAGGTGAGCTTTAACGGAGGCGGAAAAGGTACAGGAACAGCTCACGTCACCCGGGGGTGGTGTCACGTGACGAGTGGGAACTGGCCGTCCCAGCGCGGTGTGTCCTCACGCGGTTGCCATGGCATCGCGCTGTGTCATCGCATCGCTAGTGTCACACCCTCCCCCCCCCCCCCCCCCCGCCCGGGAATCCCGAGCTTTCACAACAGCCCCTGCGGTGACTGTTATTGCCTCCCAGTGCGTGGCGCGTGAGTGCAGCCGCGCCGCGGTTTCGAGCCATGCTCCACAGCCGCCGAGGGGGGAGGGGGACGGACCTGACTGTTGCCGGCACTCAGTGCCAGAGGCGAACAGCAGCAGGGGTTTGTTGCTGGGTGTGCGTTACTTAGTAATTACAACGGGGTGGAGAAGCAGAAAAGTTTATTTGCCGCTGCAAACAAGGTACAGGGAGAATAGAATTTTAAATTTTGCACACTAGGGCAGGTCATTATGTACATTTTTATATTTTTTAATGCTACTGCACTATATATTAGCTAATTAAAACTTTATATAAATACTTTGGTTTTTTTATATGGGTTATAATAATATTTATTTTTTGCAATTTTTAACAAGCATTTTTAGCAACTTAAACAACTAGCACATTTTGTTTGGCCTTGTAGCTGGTTTTTTTGTTATTTTTAACTTGGCGTTAGCAAACTTTATACTATAAAGCATTATTTATAACTGCAACATTGTTTTAAGAGCGAAAGAGCTTACTCAAACCAGCCAGGCCTGAATTCTATTAAGGGGGGTTGAGAAGAAGCCCTTAGGCCTTCAGCAGGGAGACCTCCTCGACCCTTATGGCCTTCCATCCCCTCAACTTAACTAGTGGCCATTCCCTGGGGTCTCCAACGTCACCCTTCTACATGGGAGTCGAGCTCGTGGTGTAACCGCACAGCTGGGGCTGGAAGAACGCATTCAGTCTCTTCAGCCTCACCCTACAATTGCAAGTGCTGGCAAGCAGCGCCGCGTCAGCTGACGGTGTGGTGGTGCAGCCGGGCCAGCGTGCTGTGCCCTCACACCACATCTACAGGTAGTGCTGCTGCCTAAAAAGACATTTCTGCCTTGGCAGGTCTTCTTATGCTGTGACCCGATTCAACGATTCCGAAACGCCATGTGGCTAGAAGCGTGGCCATGTCTCATTTTTGACTGATCATGGTGACATTTTGATGTAGTGATTGGTTCGGAAGCACCACTGAAATTATCTCGATGTTATCTGGGCTTGACAAAGCCCTGGCTGGGATGATTTAGTTGGGGTTGCCCCTGCTTTGAGCAGGGGGTTGGACTAGATGACCTCCTGAGGTCTCTTCCAACCCTCATCTTCTATGATTCGGTCACTGACGTGTGATAATCCATTATTTCAAAATGTCTTCATGTTGTGTCAGAATGGTTCTTTCATCCTGATGCTAAACCAAAATGCAATTGTCTCCAAATAGAATCATAGAATATCAGGGTTGGAAGGGACCCCAGAAGGTCATCTAGTCCAACCCCCTGCTTGAAGCAGGACCAATTCCCAGTTAAATCATCCCAGCCAGGGCTTTGTCAAGCCTGACCTTAAAAACCTCTAAGGAAGGAGATTCTGCCACCAAATAGTATTGTATAAAACTACCCTCAAGCTGAATCAGAATGCTGTGTCTCAAAATCAGTGTCAAAACATACTTGGATGAAAATGTCTTTAACTCATAAAAATATCACCAAATTGTGCCCCAAGAAAGGGAAAGGACAACTGAATGGGAAGGGCATAAGCCTGGGACTTGGGAAATGCAGTTTCAGTTCTCTGCTCTCCCACACACTTCCTGTGTGACCTGGGTCATTTAGCTTCTCTGTGCCACAGTTCTACATCTGTAAAACAGAGATGATAGTGCTTTGGTGTTGTGAGGATAAATACATTAAAGATTGTAAGGAGGTGAGATACTACAGTGTAAGTACTAAAATAGATAGCCATGTTATTCCATTGTAAGGCTTTTTTTCAGCCCCTGCAAGGAATCTAAGAACCTGTCACTTTCCAATATGAGTGCCTCAAGAAAATGAGTGGATTTGTGCATACAGGCATATGTGCCTGCATATTCTGGGTGCATTTTTGGAGGCCCTTTTGAACTTGTAACACAAGTTTAATAATTGGGATTATTATTCATTATGCACATAGTAATGTGTTAGGGTTTTTGCAGACACTTACATACTCACTTTGTATATGTGTTTGTGAATGTTATGCTAACTTGCATCAAAATGTAGGTGTGTTTAAAAAAAAACGTTAAAACTGGAGGAGCTGCTATTCCTCCCTCCCCCATATTAGGACCATGCTTGCAATTTATAGAAGGGTCATGTTTGTGATATGTCAAGCTTCCTGTCTTTTTCTGGTCAGATAAACAGCCACAACTCTTCCTGTAGATTCAACTTTGGGTGGCTATGTGGTAATATACTTCTCTAAAGCTGACGGATACGATCAGTGGAAGAGTTAGAGACACCATAAGGGTTCATATGCTACCCACCCCAGAACCTTGTGCAGTAAGCATACCCAGAGAAAAGGGGACATGGGTAGGGCTGTTGTGTGCCCTGGTGATGTGCCTTAGCTGCTGGAATGGTCCTTGGGAGCCATGGGCAGCTGGCCCAGCATAAAGCATCTTTCAGTCATCCAGTGGCCCTAGGATTGGTGTGGAACAAAGGTATCTTATAGCCACTTGTGCCCCTTCCCCCTCCCTGCCACCTGAGCTGTGCCTGGCACAAAAGGACAGAGTCTTGGGCCTAACCATGGTAGTCTGAAGATTTAGCTGGAATTTACTTTTTTATGATGCTTTTTTTAGGGTTATTATATTTCCTGACTGGTGTGATCTAGTCCAGTAGCTCTGAACCTTTCCAGACTACTATACCCCTTTCAGGAGTCTGATTTGTCTTGCATACCCCAAAGTTTTACCTCACTTAAAAACTACTTGCTTAAAATATCAGACATAAAAATACAAATGTGTCATAGCCACTATTACCGAAAAATTGCTTACTTTCTCATTTTTACCATATCATTATAAAATACATAAATTGGAATATAAATATTGTACTTACATTTCAGTCTATAGTATATAGAGCAGTATAAACAAGTCATTGTCGGTATGAAATGTTAGTTTGTACTGACTTCGCTAGTGTTTTTTTATATAGCCTGTTGTAAAACTAGGCAAATATCTAGATGAGTTGATGTACCCCCGCCCACTCGTAAGACCTCTGCATACTCCCAGGGGATACATGTACCCCTGGTTGAGAACCACTGATCTAGAAGCTCCACATTTATTTGTTGGCTTTGCTGAAGAGATGAGCCTTTAATAAAAAGGGGATTGTAATGTGTCTAAAGTTCAAGGCCAGTAATAGAACGGTTTATAATATAGAAGGTCAGTTTAACTCTAGCTGCTTGACTCAGCTGGGGCAGAAGTGGGGAACGGATTGTGGGGCAAGGAACCAGAGGAAATGTATTGGTTCAAGAATTTGGGAAGGGGAATAAAGGGGAGGGAAGTTGGGGGACCTGGACTGAGAATAGAGAATCGGAGACACATAGAAGGGTGGCATGGAGCCATGCTCCCAGCCTTGGTATGGGTGGACTCTGAAGGAAGCTGAAGGAGGCGATGCATTGGAGGAGGGCAGGGTGTTGATGTGGAATGAAAAGAGGGTTACAATGTGGGCAGGGGACCCCAGGAGCATAGGAAAGAAGGGCAAGGAATGTGGGCAAGGGAGATGGACCTGGAAGGGGGTACAAAGAACCAGGGGAGGCATATAGGTGTTTGTGTATGGGAACTGAGGAGACATAGATGGAGATAGGGAAATACAGAGAGTTTATAGTTTCCAGGGCAGAACTTGAGCAGTGTAAATTATTATAGCTCCGTTGAAATCAAGTCTCAGCCTTCAAATCTATAGCCTGCTAGCATAGTTATCTCAGGTGATTTCATTGGTACATCTCTCAGACAGCCAGGACTCAAACCATATAGGGTTACAAACTATATAACGCTCCATGACGATGGTGGGAACAATCCTCATTTCCTGTCCTCGATTCATAGACGGAACATACCACAGTGCTTGACATTTTGACCTAGAGACATCACTGAAGGAAACAAAAAACAAACTTACTGTCAGTGACACTCAGTAACTGAACCAAATACTAGGCTGGCATAATTGCACAGATGGGCTCTTCATGGTCTGAGAGCACTAGCACAACACAAACTGATCATTTTTTGCAGGAAGACTTTCTGCAGACTTTTCGTTTGTGGTTTTTTGATGTGTGTCTAATGAGCATCTGCTGGCAAATGTGTGTTGAAATGTTTCTTTTAAAAGATTCCAGGAATTTCATAATTGTTTAAAATTCATCCAAAATGTTGTGGCTGTAGGTATCATTGTATATAATCTTATTTCTTAAATAATACAGAGTAGCCTAAATAAATAATTATGATTATAATTAAGAGCAGACACACATGAGTAACTGACTGTATGTTACCCGTGTATGGGAAACTTGGGAGAAATAATTAATCTTCAGGTCTATAGCAAATTCTCTTCTCAGTTATACAAGTGTAAATGTGTAGGTAACTAGCTGCAGTCAGTAGTTACTTTAGATTTACTCTTGAAGAAAGAAAGGATGGTCCAGTGGTTAGGGTAGCAGCCTTGGGCTTAGAAAACCTGGGGTCAAGTTCCTGCTGTGCCACAAACTTCCTAGGTCACCTTGGCCAAATCACTTGGTCTTTCATGGCTCAATTCTCCATCTGTAGAATGGAGAAAATAGTACTTCTCTACCTCACAGGGTGTTGTGTAGATAAATACATTAAAGATTGTGGTAATTGGGGGCTATAGAAGAACCTGAAATACGCTTACATCAGTGAAACTAATAACTGAAGTTGGGCCTTTTTATCTAATATGTTTATAAGATGTTCTTTACCATGGTATCTTGGCTCTGCAATGGGAAAAAATAAGTGAAAGGAATTACTTTCTTTGAGTGAAGATAAGACAGGGATCAAATTTTTAGCTGACCTCAAGTCAGCTTCTGATTTTGGGTGCCCACTTTTGCACATGCAGGACAATGGCTGGCTGTTGAAGCTGCATGTGAAAAATGGGATGCAGGCCCACTTCGCAGGCAAATTCAGTTGTGTGCTCTAAAGAGGATATGTAATATCAGAACCTAAATGCACCTAAGATGGTCCACGTCCCTTGCTTGCATGTTTGTGAGTTTACAGAAGGATTATACCAGCAGTGCTCTAGCATCCATCCTGTTGATATAACGCCTTCATCTCAGAGGTGCTCAGTGCCCCAAGATGTGTTCAACATTTCTCAGGATCAGGCTCACAGCAGCTCCTCAAATGCTGTCAGATCCATGCCAGACACAGTGGATGCCAATAAACTGTTGTGAAATTACCTATTTGTCAGAAGATCATCTGCTTGCGGTCCCTTATTTTATTTACCCTCTACACTTCAGAATGGAGTTGAGGAGAGAGAACTCATTGTACACTGAGTGGACTGATGATGAATGACCTTTGCTGTCAAACTCAGGATATGTATTAATTATAGAGAGGAAGGCTAAGCATGCCACTGAAAGGGAGAGGAAGAGACAGCCATGTAAAATACTTGCTTTAGGGCAGATGGGGAGGATTCTCTCAGGCTGACTGATAAAATACTGAAAATTATTTCAACCCCTTCACATAACAGATTTGTTTTTAGATCTTCTTAATATGTCTTAATCTTAATAAAATATATTTGGAAAGATCTGAGTGTGAGCCATCAGCAGATAGCACCCCTCCTGCCCCCTTTTTATTAGTTACTTGGAAATTTTTAGGTACCTTGGAATCCAGTGGTGTATTTGCTTTTCATTTAATATTTGTATATTTTAAAGTGATAAATTCTGAGTTTATACAGGACAGTTGTAGATGTAAATAAATCACACCTTATGGGTTGTGGGCAGTGCTGGGCAGAGTCAACACTTTGACTGTTATCAGTCATAAAAAAATAAAGAAACTGACACAGACCCAGCCCAAAAGGGAGGGGACATTGTTCAGGGATACTGTCATATCACTCCCTTGCTGGCAGGCTCAGCAGAATGGCCAAGGACAGTGGGCCATGCAGTGTGAACTTCCCTCTGACCATGGTCAGGGTTGAGGCACATTAATTAAAAAGGGGATAGTATAGGGAAGAGTTTATTGGTAGTTGGCTGATGGAATGCTGCATAATCCATGTCTTCAGCAGCTTTTCCCATCTTCAGTTGGAGTGCAGGTCTAATTGACCCACTAAGGGATTTCACAGGCTCATTTCCTCAGTCTCCATTGTAAATACCAACTATTAATAATAATAAAGTATATACTTATAATGCAGTAGAACCTAGGAGCCCCACTCAATGGTGAAAGCTCCATTGTGCCAGATACTCTACAGCCAGTGTATAGAACCCAGGTTTTCTGCCTCCCAGGCCAGCGCCGCATCCACTGGACCACACTGCCTCTGCTAGTTGAGCATTGTTACTAATGGATAAAATGGGGTTAGGTCACTTATGTCACGGTGACACAGCAAGTCAGTGGCAGAGCTAGGAATAAGAACCTCAGTGTGTTGACTCTTGCTCTAACTACTAAACCACACACTCTCTCCCAATTCCTTTTTTATTAGAGGACTTTTTTCCCCAAGGGCACATCTCTGAAGCTTTCACCAGTAGAATGTCCTGCTTCTTAGGCATACAAATCACTTCTAATACGCTACACACAGGTCCTATTTTACATTTAGAGACATCACTTCCCAACACTGTGTGGCCTTTCTTGCCCTAAATAAAGGTCTAGAATAGGGTTCTTGCTTTCTGGAGCTGAGATAGAGGGAAACATGCAGATTTAAGGGACACACAGATTGAAATCCAGAGTGATAAAGGCTTAGCACTAGCAATAGGCAGAGGCCACTCATGACAATCTGCCATCCTAGGCAAAATTTCAGTATGCTACCCCCTCCAGCTCTCTAGAACAGAGATTTGCAGAGGTTGGACTTACCAGGGGCTCGGGATGGGGAGGAGGGGTGCAGTGAGCCTTCTGATGGTTCAGTGCTTGTGGTAGGGATGCAAGGGGGGAGGGGGGTCAAGTTGCAGGTTGTAGCACCACTTACTCAGGGTTGGTCAAGCTCCCCCTCTGTCATGACAGTGGGCAACCAGGCAAAAATTGAGTGAGTGGCATTCTGACCTGGCAAATGGGGTTGCAGCACCACTCAGGTTTGGCCCAGCTGCCCTAGTCACCCTATGCAGAATCTGCCACCCTAGCTAGCTGCGTAGTTTGCCTATAGGTAGAGCAGCCCTGATCATAGGTCACAGTTGATTTAATGAAACAAATAAACATGATGAATTAAAATGGAATAGAAACTATGTAGCTAGGCATTCCAAAGCTGAGATATTGTGTAGAGGTGATACATTCATGGGGGACTTTTAAGAAAGAGGAAGGGTTGAGGTTATCCAGTTATAGGACTATTTCCTTGGCCAGATGAGGGGATCCTCCTTGAATTCCTTTCTTCTGAGGGAGAAGTGGTGTCAACTAGTCTCATTTGTTTTCACCTCTGTAGTGTAAAAAATGAGCCCTCAGTTGGGATCTTCCTGAGTTCCAAAGCCTGAGTTCCTGCCTCAGGGCCTGATTCTGATCTCACCCCTCATCTCTGAAGTAACTAGTTAGGAGTCAATGGAATTCTGTCTATGGGAAGCTAGTGTAAGTGACTGCAGAATCAGGCCCTGGGTCTTTACTGAGGCAGCCTTCCATTGACTTCAATGGGAGTTTGTCAGAGAAAGGACTGAGCAAAATCCGAGTCAGTCTCAGGATTTGGCCTGGTGTTAGAAGTTTCATTCCCGTCTGCTTCACAGGATTACTATTAGTTTTAAGTTACTGCAAACCTAAGAAATCTGCAGTGTCACCAAGACATAGACTTAAATGTGTTTGGTCAGCTTAAAATGTCCTTGTAAACTTGATAGTTTAAGCACAGATCATGTACTATAAAAGTAACATTCAGAGTTTATTCCTGTAATTGCACATTGGAAAGGAAAATCTAGTTTACATTGTAACAAGGCACTGTATTTAGTGAACTCTAGCCTTTAGCAACATTCAGCAGCTGTTAAGAACAAATTATACTTAAGACTATAAAAATCCATGCACCTTGGTATGCAAGCTGTGGTGCTCATGCTCTTCCTTTTGAATTGTTACTGAACCAATGGCTCACCATGACCTTTGGAGGTGACCACTTATAGATTCATAGATGTTAAGGCCAGAAGGGACCATTATATTAGGGTTATCATATTTCAGCAAGGGACACTGCTGGAGGGAAGAGAAGCTGGAGAGGAGGTACATTTGGGCAGTGATGGAGGGGTGTGTGTACTGGGAGAGGGCATTTAGGGGATGCTGGAGGGATGTGTGTTAAGAGGAGGTATTTGGGGGGTGCTGGAGGGGTGTGTGTGTACTGGTAGGGGGTATTTGGGGGGTACTGGAGGGGTGAGTGTACTGAAAGGGGGTATTTAGGCGGTGCTGGAGGGGATACCTGTGGCATCACACTTGAGGTGGGGGACAGTGTCACAGACCCTGTCACGGTGGTAGGGCAGCTGGCGCAGGCCCAGGACGCAGCGCCAACCCACTAGTTAATGCCTCCCTGTGGGCTTCTCCCCCTCCCCAGGGTGGGGAGCCGGGGCCTGGCTTTGTCGCCCCTCCAGGCCAGACTCTGAGGCCCCGCAGTGGGGCAGACAGCCTGGCCAAGAGGCATTTGGCAGCTCCGCTTACCTGGTGGGCTGGGCGGGGTTGGCACGGGTGCAATCCGGCAGCTGTGGATGCAGGATCAATCAGGGCATGAAGATGGCTCTTTCTGAGCTGCAATGTCTGGAGCAGAAAAATTCCAAACATTTCCATTCTTTTCAAATACCTGCTCAGATGGAGGGAGGAGGAGGACGAAAAAAAAAAAATAAAATCATGTTTGGCAAAACCCAGATGTTTGATAACTACATTATATCATCTAGTCTGACCTCTGGTATGTCATGTTAACTCTCATCCAGTTATCTTTTTATTGAGCTTAATACCTTGGATCCAGGGGTGAAAGTAACTTAAGGGACTTATCGGTCCACAGGGTGGCTGGGGTCCTGAGCAAGGTGGAGGGCTCAACCAGAAGGGGCAGGCAGAAGGGGCGAGGCTTTGGCCAGACTCCCCCAGCCAGCCCTTCACCATGGCCCGGCAGCGATTTAAAGGTCCCAGGGCTCCCTGCCACCAACCCAGCGGTACGCTGGGGCTCCGGCAGCGATTTACAGGGCTGGAGCCCTGGGCCCTTTAAATCACCTCCGGAGCCCCATGGTAACAGTAGGGGCAGCCAGGAGCCCTGGGGCTCTGGCGGCGATTTAAAGAGCCGGGGCTCCGGCTGCTGCCGGGAGCCGCAGGCCCTTTTAAATTGTCAGGCCCCGGGGAACCTGCCCCTTTTGGCCCCCCTCATCAGTGGCCCTGCCGGTACATACTGGCTTACTTTCACTTCTGCTTGGATCGGACTAAAATATAATTTGTGATTGGTTAAAGCATATCTTCCCGAAAGGCATTCTGTCTTAATCTGAAAACGTCAAGAGATGTAGAATCCACCACTTCCCTTGGTAGTTTGTGCCAGTGGTTAATCATCATCACTGTTAACAATGTGTGCATAAATTTAATTTGAATTTGTCTGGCTTCAGCTTCCAGCTGTTGGTTCTTGCTGTGCCTTGTGTCCATTCAAGATCACATGGCACTTGTGATAACTGTCAGAATGTTAGGTATGGTGTCTTGACCAAATTCCAATATGGATGATCACACTCTGCCTCTCTAAAACTCCCAATGAGTTTTTAATTGGCAAATGATATTCCACATATCCTGTCCCATCTTTTGTACTATTGCTGTGTGTTCTTCTGAGTACAGGGTGTCAAATACAATGGTGACAAGAGCAACATAATGGATAAGATGGGTAGGTGGATAGATAGGCTAAACATCCACAACCCCTATTGACTTCATTTGGAATTGAGGGTACTTAGCCTTTCACAGGAAGTGCTTTACATCTTGCAAGTTCCTGAAGAGCTGACTGTATTTCAGTAACAAATCAGTTTTAAGGTGCCTTGAGCTCCTTGCACAGGAAGATGTTATATAAATGTAAGATCATTATCATACCAGATTAGACCACATGGTAGGTTCATGTGGTCCAGACTCCTGTCTCTATCAATACCTGATGCTTCTAAGCATTAGGTTTTCTGTTTTTGTAAAACTTAGCAATTTGGCAGGGAGATTCTTAGTGTTTCAATAAAAAGTATTAGGCCAGAATACAGTGGCCGGTGCTGTATAAATATCCAAGACAACTGGAAAGATATGCTGGCCTTGGGCCAGTGATGAGCTGCTAAAAGCTAAAGAACCGGTTCCTTCACTCGCTCTGGGTCTTCGGCAGCACGTCCTTCACTTGCTCTGGGTCTTCAGCGGTACTGAAGGACCTGCCGCCGAAGACCCGGAACGAGTGAAGGACACACCGCCGAAGCGCTGCCGGGTGAGTAAAAATTGCCTAAAGTTAACCAGTTAACCATGTGCTTAAGTGTTTTCTTGTTACAGCATTCGAAAGCTTGAAATTCTAGTTGCCTCACAGCACACTGTCTGGTTCCTTGTATTCAACAACCGGTTCTAAACCGGCTTCAAAATTTAACAATCGGTTCATGCGAACCGGCTCCAGTTCACCACTGCCTTGGGCCACATATAAAAGTTCTATTAAAGGAAAAGGGAGTTGTTTGCATGGATCAGACAACACAGAACTAAAAATCTCCTTGTAGTAAAATCTGCATACTAATAAACATGGGGAGTATATTCAACAATAAACATCAAGAAAGATGGGATCTATGTAGTAGCTTGATTGTAAAGCATTGCAATGAACTGGAATGTGAGAGTGTATATGCTCTCTCTCTCTCTCTGCTGGAAAGAATCAGAACTGATTAGCTGTGTGTCACAGGCCCTATATTGATATACTAACTAATAAAGTTTCTCGGACTCAAGTGCGTGAATCCTATGTTTTTGAAATAAGAGGACCTGGGTTCTATTTCCATTGTTATAAAATTCAGAATGGTGGTTATGAAGCCCTAAGTCGCTAATGGTTTGTTACAATATCATATATATTGTTTATGGCTTGGTAGTCTGAGTAAGTATTTTATTTGTTACATGTAACCCTACATCCAAACTGAATGGGTCTGGTTTTAGTTATGTTTCATGCTGGGAAATTTCTGGTGGTTATTTTTTCTGATGGATATGTGAAGCTGACTAATCCATTAGAACAATCTTAGTCTGCCTGAGCATGCAGCCTTGGATGGAGTTACACATTTTATGTTCTAGAAAATGTATGCAAATAGCTTTTTGAAAACATTCTCATCACCATCCACATTAAAAGCAATTAACTTCCCTCATAGTGACACTTCCATGCAAAAAATATTACACAGTATGTCAGCAAAACCTGAGTGCAGCCAAGTAAATCATTAGCGACAATAACTCTGGGTTTTGAACCATAGTTCTCCAGATGAGGTAAAAATCATTTCAAATACAAGCAACCGTAGCAGCTGTGTTCAGAGCAGGGCAAAGACCTCTCTAGCTTAACATCACCTTTTCCACTCTGTTATGCTTTCTCCTGCAAAGATTTTGGAATTTGATATTTATAGAACAGCAAAAAAAAAAAAAAAAAAACCCTCCTCTGCCCCTGCTAATATGAACAATACTGAGCAAAGGAGGAAAATAAGCAGGATTCACTTGTAATAAACTAAATATAGAAAGAGGAGGTAAAATCTCCCTTTTGGAAAAAAGTAAAAATGCAAATGGTACTTGATGCTGGGAATAGATAGGAATTAAAGGTAGAAGAGAGAACCAAAAAATTACCCTTACGGCTTTTCTACGCCAGAAATGCTGTCGGGCAGGGGTGGCCAACCTGTGTCTCCGGAGCCACATGCGACTCTTCAGAAGTTAATATGCGGCTCCTTGTATAGGCACCGACTCCGGGGCTGGAGCTACAGGCCCCACTTTCCAATGCACCGAGGGATGCTCACTGCTCTGCCCCAGGCCCTGCCCCCACTCCACCCCTTCCTGTGCCCTCCCCTGAGCCTGCCAAGCCCTTACTCCTCCTTCTCCCCACCCCACCCCCCAGAGCCTCCTTCATGCCCGGAAACAGCTGATTGGGAGGTGTGGGGAGGGCTGCTGGTGGGTGGGAAGCACTGGGAGCAGGGTTGGGGGAGCTGATGGGGGTGCTGCTGACATATTACTGTGGCTCTTTGGCTATGCACATTGGTAAATTCTGGCTCCTTCTCAGCACTGCAGCTGTGCCCCAGTGGTACTTCAGTGTAGATACTACCTACATCGATGGGAGGGGTTCTCCCATCAGCATAGGTAATACACCTTCCTGAGACACAGTGGCTAGGTTGACAGAATTCTTCCACTGACTTAGTGCTGTCTAGACCAGGAGTTAGGTCGGCTTAAGTATGTCATTCAGGGGTATGGATTTTTCACCTAGATTTTAGTGTAGACCAGACTTTAGGTTTGCAGTAGTCCACATTGGGGATAATCAGCACTCTTAATTGCTAATTCATCAAAGCAAAGCATTTAAATCCCACTAAAGTCAATGGGTATGTCTACACAGCCCACAGCAGCGATGCTTGGCTTGTGTCAGCATCAGATTATAGCTGTGTGTAGACAGTGCTATGCTTCCACTAAAGCCCCAATTCAACAAAGCTCTTAAACCCATGTTTAGGACCCATTGTGTATATCTTCACAGTCCATGGCAGTGAGCCTCCTAGCCCAGTCGAAAGACTCTGGCTTGTGGGGCTCACGCTAATGCTCTAAAAATAGCTGTGTAGACAACACTTTGAAGTTGTGTCCCCAGGCTGGAGCTTCAGTTCTCAACTTAAGAGCATAAGAACGGCCATACTGGGTCAGTCCAATGTTCCATCTAGCCCAGTATCCTGTCTTTTAACAGTGGCTGGTGCCAGATGCTTCAGAAGTAACGAACAGGCCAAGACAATCATTGAGTGATCCATCCCCTGTTGTCCAGTCCAAGCATCTGGCAGTCAGAGGATTAGAATGCCCAGAACATGGGGTTGCATCCCTGACCATCTTAGCTAATAGCCACTGATGAAACTATTCTCCATGAACTTATCTAAATTATTTTTTGAACGCAATTATACTTTTGGTCTTTACAACATCCTCTGGCAATGAGTTAAACGGGATGACTGTGCATTGTGTGAAGAAATACTTCCTTTTGTTTCAGAGTAGCAGCCGTTTTAGTCTGTATTCGCAAAAAGAAAAGGAGTAATTGTGGCACCTTAGAGACTAACAAATTTATTTGAGCATAAACTTTCGTGAGCTACAGCTCACTTCATCGGATTTGTTAGTCTCTAAGGTGCCACAAGTACTCCTTTTCCTTTTGTTTGTTTTCAACCTGCTGTCTTTTAATTTCATTGGTGAGCCCTGGTTTGTGTGTCATGTGAAGGAGTAAATAACACTTCCTTATTCACTTTCTCTCCACCATTCATGATTTTATAGACATCTATCATATCCCCCTTAGTCATATATTTTCCAAGCAGAACAGTCCTAGTTTTTTTAATCTCTCCTCATACAGAATTAGTTCTATACCCCTAATCATTTTGTTGCTCTTCTGTGTACCTTTTCCAATTCTAATATATCTTTTTTGAGACAGGGCAACCGGAACTGCACAAAGTATTGAAGGTTTGGGCATACCATGGCTTTAAATAGTTGCATTATGATATTTACTGTCGTATTATCTATCCCTTTCCTTTTGGTTCTAACATTCATAGAATATCAGGGTTGGAAGGGACCTCAGGAGGTCATCTAGTCCAACCCCCTGCTCAAAAGCAGGACCAATCCCCAACTAAATCATCCCTGCCAGGGCTTTGTCAAGCCGGGCCTTAAAAACTTCTAAGGAAGGAGATTCCACCACCTCCTTAGGCAACGCATTCCAGTGTTTCACCACCTACCTAGTGAAAAAGTTTTTCCTAATATCCACCTAAACCTCCCCCACTGCAACTTGAGACCGTTGCTCCTTGTTCTATCATCTGCTACCACTGAGAACAGTCTAGATCCATCCTCTTTGGAACCCCCTTTCAGGTAGTTGAAAGCAGCAATCAAATCCCCCCTCATTCTTCTCTTCTGCAGACTAAACAATCCCAGTTCCCTCAGCCTCTTCTCATAAGTCATGTGTTCCAGACCCCTAATAATTTTTGTTGCCCTCCGTTGGACATTTTCCAATTTTTCCACATCCTTCTTGTAATGTGGGACCCAAAACTGGACACAGTACTCCAGATGAGGCCTCACCAATGGCGAATAGAGGGGAACGATCACGTCCTTCGATCTGCTGGCAATGCTCCTACTTATACAGCCCAAAATGCCGTTGGCCTTCTTGGCAACAAGGCCACACTGTTGACTCATATCCAGCTTCTCGTCCACCGTAACTCCTAGGTCCTTTTCTGCAGAACTGCTACCTAGCCATTCGGTCCCTAGACTGCAGCAGTGCATGGGATTCTTCCCTCCTAATGAAGGACATAAATCCACACCGTGTAGAGGTCAAGAACAGGAGTTTATTACGTACAGCGCTGATGGTGTGTCACCTCGCTTATTAGGCTCAGAGACACTGTCAATCAATTGATTACAATGGAATACATGGATTTTCCATGGGCAGGGGAAAGTGAAGGGGTAGGCAGTCCCACATCCCCGGATTGGTTTAGCTGCAATGCATGATAGCACAGTAGCCAATGGTCAAAAGGTTACGTAATGTCTCCGCCCATGATCTCAAGTTAATAAATTAACATTTAGCATTTAAAATTAGTACTTTAATAAAATGTATTAGTATAAAATATGTTGAATTCTGATTTGGGGTCCATAGGAATGATGTAGCTCCTTTGATTGTCCAACAGATAGTCACCCAGTTTTGTGTTCTTATGAGAGGTTCTGGTGACCTTAGTGAGAGAGTGTAAGAGACCCCGTCAGCTATAGACTATTGTTCCTTTCTTTTGCATGTTAGCACCATCTCCTTCCCCGTGCTTAAAGATGCAGGAACTCACCTACAGTCCAGTGTGGGAGGAAGGCAGCTGCCAAATGTGGGAGACTTACCAGCAGAGATGGGCTCAGGCTCAAACCAAACTCCAGATCATACTCCAAAACTTTAATGGTTCCCTATATTGCACCAGTTTTCCACAGGTGTAACTACATTGACTTCAGGGCTAACTGAGCATCCCAAATCCAAACCCACCAGATTAGAGTTTTGCAGCTAAATCCATCTCTGTAGGTCAACATCAGAACGCCTGGAAAATGAAATATCTAATGCATATGCTAATGCATATTTATTAACCCCCCAAGTATAAAAAAAGTGGGGGTTCATCTGAATAATTTGAAATCTTCTCTGCCCAAAGTGCTTTTGAAAGTCTTATAGTTACTTAATTGAACTACTTAATTAAATTAATTGTGATCTGTTAAGAGCTGATATTGTGCTTCTTGTACAAGACATGTTAAGAAAATATCCCAGGACAGTGTTACACCCAAATATGCAAATGTATTTGTAGATCTAACTTGTAAACACAAATGACCAACGAGCAAAACTGTATGAAGTGTTCATTAGAAATAATTAATTTGGCAGATTTAGACCTTCTTAATGGTTTGTTTGTTATTTAATTAATAGAGTTTAGGAACCATGTTTGAGCCTGTTGGCTTTTTGCTAACTATTCTTACTGAGTATTCAGAGTTTACTGTTCGAGCTAGGTGGCTGGCCTGCAAAGTTACATGATATGGTTTCTGCCTTCTGACTGGGTGACCCCAGGTGAACAGAGAATACTCTTGATTATTAACAGCTACCTGTATTCGCACAAATAACACCCCCCCCCCCCCGCTATAAGTGTTTATGCAGACACAACACAGCTGCGTAATGTTAGTAGAAAAGCAGACAAAAAATGGTCTGATTGTAGCTGGATCAAACTGAGCTCTGGATTTAGTGAGCATACTAATAAATATTTCTGCCTATTGTTCTTAAACTCTGGTTCTGTGTAGAACACAGTTCTCTGTGCTAATATGGTTAATGCTGTAAGCAACAGCTTATCAGATGCAGTTAAGCTCTTTATTTTTTGTACTTGATTCTTGAAATCTATTATGCACATTCTTCTGCTTAAAGCCTGACAAGGTGGTTGCTGTATAAATGACACCTATATATTTGGAAGACTTCAGATTTCTTATGACAAATTCATTTAATCCTTTTAATATTCTGGCCCATTTGGGGAGTTAATTAACAGGATGAATGTAAAAAAAAAAAAAAAGTACTTGTGGCACCTTAGAAACTAACCAATTTATTTGAGCATGAGCTTTCGTGAGCTACAGCCCACTTCATCGGATGAATGTGGACTCAATTTTTCTATTTCATGTGTATCCAAACAGGAACTTTCTTTTATTATAAGAGTGCCCACTAGCACTGCTGTATTTTAAGGTTTTTTTTTTTTTTTACCAGTTCTGTGATAGAAACCTCATATTTCAGCATTTGTTGCTAGCCCATAAAAAACACTCAAGATTTAAAACTTGATGTGAAAAAATAATAATAATCCAAGTCTTTGTTTTCAAGTCACAGGAGAGCAAAAGCAATGAGTTGCCGAGTTCAGGTGTTTCTTTTATGCCACTATTACTCAAAAATGATTTTGTCATTTAAGCTGATATGGCAGAGTCCTGTCACTTATAATGCACGAGTCCCTGGGGCTATTTTTTGCAGGAGGGGAAAGTGGCAGAGTTTATTTTGTCTAGAAGGGTGGGTCATTACCTGGCCCAAATCCTGCTTGATTTATTTGCATAAATAAATGTGTGCTATTGGGCCTAATCCTGCTCTGTTTGAAACCCATAGGGTTGGGTTATAATTGTGTACTACAATTCATAGCAAATGCAGTACTAGCCCATACAGAGATAGCATGGCCTGTTGGAGTGAGCCCAGCACTGAGAACAAGAAACACCTGTTCTCTAATCCCAGTGCTGACAGTGACCCCCTCTGTGGCTACGGGCAAGTCACTTAACATCTCTGTGCCTCATGAAGAAAAGGAGTACCTGTGGCACCTTAGAGACTAGCCACAAATATTTCCCCCACTAGCCTGTATTTAACGCCTTACTTCAGAGGTGAATGATCTCACAGGGACAAGACATGAGTGTCCACAGAGTCTAGTTATTTGCCTTTCCAATTAAATAAAACCACTTTCCTATAATCATAGCCAAGGAAGGAAATGTCTATACTTTGCTCCTGAGAAGTAGGAGTATATTAATAGAATAAATCAGAGTTCAACTGTGGACGGGAGTGAAAAACTTATTGAAATATAGGAATTACCATATCAGATCAGACCAGTGGTACATTTAGTCTAAACCTCTCTCTATCACTAGCCAAAACCAGGTGCTTCAGAGAAAGATGTTAAGAGCCTCTTAATAGACAGCTATAGAAGTTAGTGTGTAATCTGTGCCATGAAGGACTTATATCCCATATTTTTTAAAAAAAATCTTGTCTAATGTAACAGTGAATATTCTCATTATCCATACAAATGTCTAATCTTCTTTTAAATCCTACGAAGCTCTTTGAAACTAAGAGCTCCACAAATTAACTTATTCCCCCGGAATAGCCTCTTGGTCGTCATATATTATGAGAAGGTAAATAGGAGTGCCTGATTTATTAGGTCTATTCAATTCATTATATTGTTTACCTCTATCGTGTCCCCTCTTATTCATCTCCTCTTTAAACTAAAGAGTTCCAATCTTTTCATGTCTCTGACAGTTTCTATTGCCTATCTTTGGACCATTTCTATTTTTTGCTATATATGTGCATATATATTTAGCTAGGTTGACAGGAATGGAACATTCTAGGTGAGGGCATATAATTGATTTATATAATGGCATTTTAATATTGACACGATTATTTTTCAATCACATTTTTTATACACTCCAACACTTTGCTAGTTTTGACTTCCACTGCTTACCAAGCAGAGGTTTCCATTAAGCTAGTCATACTTACAGGGTATGGTGAAATCCTGAAATTACCAGTAAATGGGAGTTTTGCCATTGAGTTCAATGGCGCCAGAATTTCACCTCTGGTCTTATTCCAAGTTGTTAATTTAAAATCCAGCAGCAATCTGAGTTGTCCAAATTTTTTCCTTCCAGTGTACATTGACTTACATGATTCAACACTGAGGGATTGTCTACACTTACCTCCGAAGCGATCGATCCAGCGGAGGGTCAATTTATCACGTCTAGTGAAGATGCGATAAATCAACTGCCGAGTGCTCGCCTGTCAACTCTGGTATGCCACTGGAGCGAGAGGCACAGGCAGAGTCGATGGAGGAGCATCAGCTGTCGACCTACTGCAATAAGTGGATCTAAGTATGTGGACTTCAGCTATGTTATTCATGGAGCTGAAGTTGCATAACTTAAGTCGATCCCCCTCACCCCCACCAGTGCAGACCAGGCCTGAATGTTGTCTACCACTGTGTTGCCTATTCACCTAGCTGTGTGAGGTCCCTCTGAAGTTCCTCACAATCTTTCATAGGCTTCAGTATCCTAAGGAATTTTGTGTCACTTGTAGTTTTTGCCACCTTACTGTTCACCCCCTGTAAAGGTTCAGATTTACCCAGCAGCACCTCCTGCTGGTAGTCATCGGGAATTAACTTGCCCAGCCACTGGAGCGCCCTCTGCAGGCCACCTTACCGCCAGCCCCCATGTCCCTCTCAGGACCCAGAGCTCCTTTCCCTGGGGTGCCACCCCCCCCAGCAGTACCCCCCAAACTCTCAAGTTCTGGGTCTCCCCACCCAGGGGAGACCCCACCCTCTAACCCCACCTCACCTCAGTCTGGGCTACTGCCACTCCCCACTTAGCCCCTTATATCAGGGGCTGACTGCAGTGTATACGCCACTCATCACAGGCAAGGGGGTTTTGGACCTGCTGCCTCTGCATACCCATGGGCTGTCCCCCTGCACCTATTCAGCCTACAGCCTGAGGCTTTCCAGGCTGGAGCTCTCAGCTCCTCTGGCCCTTCCCCAGCCCTGCTCCAATCTAGGTGTCCTGCTCAGTACCTTACAGCTAGGCCCTTCTCCCTCACAGCCTCTTATATGGGCTAGCTGGGCCTGACTGAACTGGCCACAGCTGCAGCTGCTCCCTTAATCAGCCTGGACTTTTCCCCACAGCCCCAGCTCTCTCCCAGGGCTGGAGTGGGTAATCACCCCGCTACACCCCCTTTCAGAGATCATTAATAAATATATTAAACAATACTACTCCTAGTACAGAAACATCTAGCACTCCACTGTTAAGCTTTTGCCATGTTGAAAATTGACCATTTTTCCTAATCTTTCTTTTTCTATTAGCCAATTTCAAATCCATGACAGTACATTACTTCTCATGCCATGACCACTTCGTTATTTAATAGCTTCTTGTGAGGGACTTTGTCAAATGCTTTTTGAAAATCCAAATAAACTATAACCACTGGATTTCCTTTATCCACTATCTAGGAGAGCCTGGAGTGTTTTCCCTTGGAAAATGTTTGAAAATACCTGCCATCTGGTACAATCTGATGCAGTCCACAGACAAGAGATTTTGCTCCTCTGAGGCATTTTTATGAGCTTCAGGGTAAGTCATCTCTTGTAGGGATAAATTAGCAGTATCCAGAGAGGGGCTAACACCATCAGAGACAGGCAGTACTGATATGTTTTCACAGCAAAAAAAAACCCTGCCTCAGTGAGTCTTAGAGTCCAGGTCTGCAGATGCCAAAAAATAGCCGTGTAGACATTCGAGCTCAGGCTCTGAAGCCCAAGAAGGTAGGTGGATTTCAGAGCCCAAGCCTGAATGTCTACACAGCTCTTTTAGTGCCATAGTTTGAGCCCAAGTCTGTAGACTCGCTGCCTCAGGTTTTTTGTTTTTGTTTTTGTTTTTATTTTGTTTTTTGCTGTGTAGACATAATCAGAGAAAGCACCTCAACCTTTTGAAAAGGTCAGCAACAAACTCTTAATATTTTGACCTATCATTCCACAGCTATCAGAGGAACAGCCGTGTTAGTCTGTATTCGCAAAAAGAAAAGGAGTACTTGTGGCACCTTAGAGACTAACCAATTTATTTGAGCATGAGCTTTCGTGAGCCACAGCTCACTTCATCAGATGTGATGATGATCACTTCATCACCACAGCTAATTACTTCAAGGTGAAAATGTGTCTCTTTCAAAACATTTTGACTAGTATTGTCGTCTGGGGGGGGGAGGGGGTGGAATGTGACACCCGTGGCAACTCAGAAAAAGCCAGCTCTCCGACACTCCTTGGGAAGTACATGGTATAAGAGTCATCAATTAACCAATGCCCATTTCTGCCAGACCTGAAGAAGAGTTCTGCATAGCTTGAAAGCTTGTCTCTTTCACCTACACAAGTTGGTACAGTAAAAGATATTACCTCACCCACCTTGTCTCTCTTCTGTTGATGTCAGTCCTGATCTTTCAAAGGCACCTTAAATTTATACATGTGACTAATCCCATTGACTTCAGTGGGATGGCTCACATTCCTGAAATTAAGCACGTGCATAAATTCCATCAGGATCAGGGCCTTAATAGTCTCGGTAGAAAGCTTAGCAGGTGGAGTAGTCAGAAAACAGGTCTGAACCAGTTCCTCCTGCAAAGAGAACATTTCAACTCTGATGTTCTTGCTGTTGAATTATTAAAACATCTTAATAAATACTTATGTGCTTCCAGTGTCTTAACTATTACTCCAGACACAACAACATTAAATAAATTAGCAGTACACCTAAGTGCTAGTCCATACCCAGCCTTTAGTCTCATGCTACCTAGGTGTGATCTTAGTATGAAATTAAGCACACACCCTGTTGTGTCTTTTATAAAACTTGTAAAGTTAGATTCATGGCTGCATCAATAATTATTTTTCAATGGTCCTGCATGAAGAGCCATATGCTATATATTTATGCTGTGCACTGTGTGTATATGTGGCTGTGTTGGTTTAAAATGTATACATTGCTACCACACACATATCCTTATGAGCCAATCCTGCTGCTACTGAAGCCAATTATAATACTTCCACTGACTTTAAATGGAGCATGATCAGACCTATATGTTGCAAAACTGAGTATTTGAAAAATGGGAAAAAATCATTAAGTTTTTTTGACTGAGGTTGCAAAATAAAGTGATCAGCTGTAACTCTCAGTCACTCCCTGCATGGCACAGCTATTATCACCTACCATATCTCTTAAATACAATATTTGAGAGCGAACATAGGAAGAACTGCAGGGAAAATGAAAGTGCAAACTAACTAGTACTGAATAACAAAGGGTCTGATGCTGAGAGATACTGACCAACACCAGCCTTACAGGGGAAGTGCTCTCTACACGCACAGGATTGGACCACTAGTTAGTCTCCTCTTTGACACCTGAATTGAAAGTGCCAGGCTCTACAAAGATACTGGTAAAACTCATAAAATGATAGCTGGACTTTTAATGTCCTGGCACCATTCTGTAATTTGTAGAAGCTGGCAGAACAAATATCATCCCCCTAATCTGGGTACCAGTTCCATGCTAGGGGTCTGTAGAAACAGTCAGAGGCAGACTTTGATAAATTTCCAGCTGATCAGAGATTGGACTGTCATTTAATGAGTACTTCCAAAAAGTGCTGTTAATTTTTTTACAGGGGCGAAGGAGTGCTCTGAGAATTCTACCTTTTTTCTTCTATTTCTTTATGGCCACACTATACTATCCTTACTCATGTTTGGTAGCATCTTACTTTGCAAATAGTCCCAACTGACTTTTATAAAACTTCACATGGTGTCAGATTCTCCTCAATGTCCTTGTCTTTATTAGGAAAAAAAGGTGTGTTCTTAACTTAATGTTGCTTACTTGAGGTAACTTACTTGAGGTCAAATTCTAGTGAAGCTAAAGCAGTTTGTAGTTTTCACATGAGTTAGCAGAGTTACTGTATCGCAATTTGGCTTTCAAATTTTTAGCTCCAAATTCTAAGAATTACCCATGAAAAAATATGCTTGCACAATTGCATGACTAATCTGCATTGGCAGTTGTTGCAGTTGTGTGCATATAGTGATGGTTACTGTGCAGGTAAACATCCAGTGAGAAATCTAAACTGTCATTTGCCTGCATTTAGCACAACAGAGTAAAAAACTGCAGAAGTCCCATGTTTGGTCACGCTCACACTTTTTCATGAGCAATTGTGTAGGTGCAGTTTTGAAAATTGTGCCCCTAACTCTTGTCTATGTTGTCTACAAACTTTATTTTTGTTCCTTATCTTTTCTATCCCTGTACATGCAGTCTACAGCCTCAATTATACACCCTTCAGATCGGACTGTAACAAGTCAATATATTTGTATGCAGTTTGTGGAACTGACTGACAAAGTCAAAAGGCAAATTTGTTATCCCTTTCATTGCATTGTCTTTTATTCATAAATGATTGCACTTTCTTACACATTTTACGGGAGGCAACATGTGGGAATATTGTGCCGAGTTCACCTCTGTATAGTTCTATGCTGCTAGCTGCTTCCTCATGCTCCAAAATGTCAATCTGTTCTGGATTTGCACTCTACATTCACCAGTTTATCATTAAACCTGTGTGTTTACTGACACAATAGAGTACATTAAGGGCTGTTTGTTCAGGGCTGTTACCACCAAACTAGCTGGTACCCCATCCACTGTGGGCTAGGTGCACACAATCAGACAAGTTTCAGAGTGGTAGCCGTGTTAGTCTGTATCAGCAAAAACAACGAAAAGTCCTTGTGGCATGTTGTTTTTACAATCAAACAAGGCTATTAAGCAGGGATGCTATTTATTTTGATAAGGACAGACAGCATCTGTTTCGGCAGGCAGTGATCCAATTGAAAAAAGACATCAGGACTTCCTGCAGAAGATGAGGCTACCCAGGGCTACCTGCAGAATCTGCACCTACCTGGCAGACATAAGATTGCTAAGCTGGCCTGGAACAGACACAGGTGCAAGATGAGAGACAAGCGTAGCAGCTCCCCGTAAAGTAGGGTTTCTCAAACTTCATTGCACCATGACTTCCTTCGGACAACAAAAATTACTATATGACCCCAGAAGGGGGACCGAAGCTTGAGCCCACCTGAGCCCCACTGCCCTGGGTGGGTGGGGCGGAAGCTGAAGCCCTCGTGATTCGGATTCAGCCCAGGCGGTGGGGCTCGGGCTTCATGCCCGGGCCCCATCAAGTCTAAGCCAGCCTTGACAACCCCATTAAAATGGGGTCACAACCCACTTTGGGGTCACAACCCACAGTTGGAGAACCACTGCAGAGGTATCTGAGGAAGAGAAAAGAAACAAAGGGCCCTTCTCCTTGGACCCTGAAGTCCTAGCCTTTCCCCATTTCCTCCAGCATTCACCACCTCTGAGATGTCAGCTCTTTCTAGCTGACAATTCTCCAAGCTCTGCTAAATAGCAGGAAATGTCCTACTATTGCCCCAAAAGATGCAGAGCTGAAGAAGGGGAAATCACAGTGCAAGAGGAATTGAGTGGGAGCAGCAGAGCGTAGGAGAGGGAGGCAGGGCTGCCAGCAGGATGTCTTGCTCACTGGACATTAAAATTCGTATCCTCTCTGCTTCACCTAGGTGAAACTCCCTCATCTCTCTGCCTTCCTCCTTCTCCATTCCTCCAAACCCCTTTTCTGTCCCCCTCTCTGCACTTGCTCTTCACCTTTCCTTCTCATTTCCGTATCACCAGAACACTCCTGCTTTCTGCCTTCCCCTTTCCATCCATCAAGCAACAAAATAAAAGGAACAGATTAAGGGCACTGTGTACCTTGTAATGTGCTTCTCCCCCTCTTCATGGAGTGCTGCCCCCTCTCCTTAGAGTATTTTGAGTGTGCTGCTGGTGGCTGTCCTTCATAAGCACTTGCTGAACAGCCTTGCACCACTGCTCCTCCTATTATGTGCAGTGTAAGAGCAGAGAAAGACAGAGCAAAGTGGAGGAACAGCAGCACTGCAGGACAGGCCTATATCACTGATGGGGTCTTAGCAGCACTGAGTCATAAACATTGAGAGGGGCAAGAGACATAATTACAATCAGTAAATACTTTCAATTTATATTATACCTTCCAACCAAGTTTCTCAAAGGAATGGTAAAGATTATTATTGTCAATTTACAGATTAGTTTGTGACTCATAGGGTTATTCTTAGTGTGGAAGTCTCCAGACTAAATATAATTATTTTTATTTATTTTTTATTTATTTGTATTCCTGTCACCCCAGGAACTCCACCTGAGATCAGGACTGAATAAAGGCTTGCCTACACTTAAACGTTTTGCTATTCTTACAATACTGATATAGTTAAAGTGCCAGATTCCACCCCCTAGTGTGGATGCAGTTATGTGTTATGAAAGTGCTTATACTAGTATAGTTTACTCTGGCTCAGGAAGGCCATCTCTGCACTAGAAACAAATGACTGGTATAGGAATACCAGGGTACTATATTGACAAAGCATTCCTGCCTACAGCTGCAAAACTGCATGTAGTAAATCTACCCCTCATGAGCAAAACAAGCTATACCAGGCATAAAAGCACAGCTTTGCTGATGTAACTACATCTACATTAGGGGCTTCTGCCAGCACAGCTATGTCAGTCAGAGATCACACCTCTTCATACCCCAGAACAACACTGCTATGCCAGCAGAAGTCTGTAGTGTAGGCATAGCCTAAATGAGAAAAGCTATACCAATATAAGGCACTTTTATACTTGTATAAATATATTTACACTAGGGCTTTTACCAGCATCGCTATCCTGGCAAAAAAAATTACACCCTTACCCAACGTAGTGGTTCTGGTAAAACTTTTTAAGTGTAGACAAGCCCTGAGAGATTGTCACTGCCCCAAAGAGGTTACAGTCTAATTAGACAGTGTGTAACATACAAGCCGGGTAATCAGGGTGACAGTTTGCAAACATCATGTTTGTGTCATCATGTTTTTGTTGGTTGGCTTCATTCTTTTTCGAATTATTTGGATGGAGTTTTGTTGGGGGGAGGTAGGATTAGCTAACCACACAGGCAAAGGGCAGGAGAAGGGACATTGAAGAAGGCCTAAAGAAATGGAGGGCAGGGTTGACTGAATAGACTGGGAAGTGAATAGACTGGAAAGGCTAGGGCAAGAGGGAGCTCAAGGAAATAGCCAATCAGCAAAAAGGAAAGAATGTCCAGAGTGAAATCTGTAATAAGCAGCTGGGCTTTGGTGACAACATCAGTGTCTGACCAACCCTACTACAGCTGTTGTTTCTTCTCCTACTGGCTGTTTCTTTCCCAATTAAACATATATGCAGGCTAGAAAATTGGTGGCAACAGTGTATCACTTTTGACCTTTCCCCAGGCTCATCTGGACCTGGCAAGAAAGTAAGGAAATACAGTAACAGGAAAGAGGTCCCAGATTTGTTCTCAGGCTGTGGCACATGATTCACCTGGTTGGCAGGGCTCACTCTGTTCTGCTCCAGGAATTAGACATAGGATGTCTTGAAAGTGCTGACTAGATGAGAGTTTATATAGTTTTTTTTCTAAACTCAGCTGGAGTGAATTGTCTAATACCTTGCTGTTTCAGACTTTTAAATTGGGGTGGGATTTGGGCCTCTGGGTTGATATTTTTTTTTAGGGAATTTAGTGCTTGATTGATAGCCCTGGTGACTAAAGGCCCCTGTTGATCCTCACAACAAGTGTAGCATGGGCAGTAGTAATGCCAGCTTCCTTACACTGACTTACCCATGTGCCCCAGCCCTGACCTGAAGGCCCCTCTGGGGTCTGGTCTACACTAGGAAAATGAGTTCAATTTTCCATTCTGTTTTGATTAGAAACTTCCATTTTTCTATGAAATTATTTTTACCTTATCCTCCCACACTCCCTTGCCTGTTTGTCTTTTTCATCCACCTATCGCATCCTGTCTGACACCTAGATCGTTAGCATTCTGGGACAGGGACTGTTTTCTCTGGTATTTGTCTGTACAGCACCTAGCATAAGGGGACCCTGATCCTTGAGTGGGCTTCCTAGGAGCTGCTGTCATACAAACTAAATAAATAATAACTTTATTACCGTGCCTGCTCAAGACAACAATGGCATGCAACCTGCTGTGACCACTGCCTCCGTTCTTGGTTTAGCTCCTGTGCAGCTCCACTATGGCTGTAATACAGGCACTATAGGCTAGATAACGCATTAATAAGAGCACCAATGCTTCATGTACTATGGAACTCCTTCCATTGCTACCAGTAGAGAACCTCCATTGGTGCTACTACAGTGAAAGGAGAACCTTAATAAACAGCCTAACAGACACCACCTGATGAACGCATCCAGCACATTTTTCCAGAAGACTCACATCAACTGCCTGTCTATTTTATGTTTGTTATGGGTACCCTAATCTGTTCCCTTTTTCAGATGTGCTGTTGGCCTGTTAACCCAGCCTTGCAGAAAAACATCTCCACACAAACTAAAGATATGACTTGTCCCTTCCATTCACTCTCTGAGCTGAGAATACTGCTCCCCTCATCCCCATTTTTCTCAATGAAGTATGAATTGCACAGAGCACACACACGTAAACTAATCAAGGAATCCATTTGCAACCTGAACAGTTTTATGATTTAGGTCCAATCCACTCTGCAACTTAGTGGATATCTGTGTTGTAACCTAGTCCCCTAGCCCAGCTTTATGTAGTGTAGAAGGGGTCTTTTCTCTTTTTCTCATGTAGTGCCCTTTCCCCCCACCCCCAAATCTGGATGCTCCCTGGATGCCATGAAGTGCTTGTTTACATGGGGATTTATAATAGTTATTCCTGATTAGTGTGGATGCTTTTATATGGTGACATGCCACCAAGCACCCTTGCTTTCAGACCCTGCAAACTATTGTAATAATATTTGACAGAATATGCCTTGTGAGGTATCATTTGAAAACTAACTCACTGATAATTAATGTTCTTTTGTGATGTATATACCTTATGTGTATTAAGAATTATGAATATATGCTGGAATTTTGACTAAAGTATGGTATGTCAGTGGACAAGGGGTATCAGAGGGTTAGCCATGTTAGTCTGTATCCACAAAAACAATGAGGAGTCTGGTGGCATCTCAAAGACTAACAGATTTATTTGGGCATAAGCTTTCGTGGGTAAAAACCACTTCTTCAGATGCATGGAGTGAAAATTACAAATACAAGCATAAATATACTGGCACATGAAGAGAAGGAAGTTACCTTACAAGTGGAGAACCAGTGATGACAAGCCCAATTCAATCAGGGTGGATGTGATCCACTCCCAATAATTGATGAGGAGGTGTCAATACCAAGGGAAGAATTCCACCTGGATTTCAACAATTTCTACCCCACCATCAACCTCAGCCTGGACCAGTCCACACAAGAGATCCACTTCCTGGACACTACAGTGCAAATAAGTGATGGTCACATAAACACCACCCTATACCGGAAACCTACGGACTGCTATTCTTACCTACATGCCTCCAGCTTCCATCCAGGACACATCACACAATCTATCGTCTACAGCCAAGTTCTAAGATACAACCATATTTGCTCCAATCCCTCAGACAGAGACAAACACCTACAAGATCTTTATCAACCATTCTTAAAACTACAGTACCACCTGGAGAAGTGAGGAAACAGGTAGACAGAGCAAGACAGGTACCTAGAAGTCACCTACTACAGGACAGACCCAACAAGGAAAATAACAGAACACCACTGGCCATCAGGTATAACCCCCAGCTAAAATCTCTCCAGTACATCATCAACGATCTACAACCTATCCTGGAAAATGATCCCTCATTCTCACAGACCTTGGGAGACAGGCCAGTCCTCGCTTGCAGACAGCCCTCCAACCTGAAGCAAATACTCAGCACTGTAGGGGCAGAATTTTAGAATTACACTATAGGAATTGATGTATAATTTTATTTCATCCTGCTAGTCACCCCATTTGAATAGCAGAAAGGAATGACCCTCTGGGACTATGAGATTCTGTTTTCCCATATGCATTACAAATTGGCCCCTCTTTAGTTCTTTGTTTTAAGGTTTAGTTAGTAAGAGACAGGATTCTGTATTGTGTCTATGTTAAGTAGATTAGAGGAACACTGAAGGCCTGGGTCTCAATGTAAATTGTCTTGGTTATTGATTGTAAAACTTAGCAAGGTTTAATTTGCAATGCCTTTTTGCGCGATATAAAATACTACTGTTTGTATTCTCAAAGTCTCTGTAAAAGACTGTTTGGTCTCTGTAAGAGACTGCTTGTGTGAATGACGAATGCATGCATCAGGAAAAGATAAGGTGTGAAGGCCATCGTTAACCAGATGGTCAAGAAAGGAGGAGCGAAGACAGTTATCGAGATTTGTTGACGCCAAAGAACCATCAACACGTATCCATGATTGAGGAAGGGCAAATTGACAACCCTGAGGTGAAAGCTGGCACCTCTAAAGACAATTCAATTGAAACCAGGACAGGATGACCCTCTCAGAGGTGTTTTGGAATGCTAACACCAATCAAGGAGTAACCGGTCAGAAACTGACACAGCAAAATCTATAGACTTCAACAGAGAAAAAGGACTATAAGAACAAGATGCTTTGGCATGGGACTTTGGGTTCATCTTGCCACACTCCAGGAGCACCGGATCGCGACTGACAAAGCCCTGCTCCCCTCTGCAACTGATCTGGCTGGCCACTAGATTGATCCAGACTCTGGACTGGTAACTATAAACATCAACTGGCAGGACCCTGTGTGTGTGTGTGTGAGATTGAAAAGCATATGCTAACTGCTGTATTCTCAATAAATGCGGCGTGCTACCTTCTTCCCTATAAAGATCCCGTGTGCTTCTTATAAGTATAAGATTTTTGGTGGAAAATTGCTAAAGGGGGAAGAGTATATGTGCTGTAATTATTGACAATACTGCTAAGTGATTGATCATTCAGGTGTGCACACCCCTGGTCATAGAGATACCGGGCAGTGAAAAGGGAACCAGGTGTGGTTAATATTGTATTCACTGTTGGTATTTTATGAACTGAGAATTTGTATGATTAAGATGTATACACACCCTCGGTCATAGAAGGGCTGAGAGACAGGAGAGAGGTTTAGCATCCCTCCCTCCACCCCGACTGCTGGGGGGAAATAATTGGAGGTGGGTATACCCCCGGTCGTAGAAGTGCCGGACAATAGGGGGAGGATTAGAGTCCTTGCTCCGGCCCATCTGTCAGGGAAAACTATAAAAACCATAGGTGCATACACCCTCGGCCGTAGCAAGACTGAGCATAAGAGGAGAACTTAGGGTTTCTTGCTCTGCCCCTGGGAGGGATTTTTATATTTGGTGTATGAACTCTCGGTGGTAGAAGGCCAAGCAATACAGAGGGGGACTTAGCGTTTCTCCCTCTGGCCCAGAGTGGGTTAAGATAATAAGCCCCGGCACTGGCATGGGCAACAGGGTGAAGAAAGGAATTTGTAAGCCCCGGCACTGGCACAGGCAAACATAAGATCTTAATTAAGGTAATTAGAAATAACAACCAAACACCTTAGATCCAAAATGTTCAGATGAAAAGAGTCCCGTAAGGAGAATACTCAGGCAGAACTAAAAAAGCTGCCGGGTGTGCAAGAGATCATTCCTTTTAAACAAATCTTGCAGAAATTTGGCCACAGCCCATGGACAGAACAAGCAATAGCCAATTTCCACACAATAGCCGACTTAGAAGATAAACTGGCAAATATTTGTTGATTTATAAACCTTTAAATCCAGCAAAATTAAAAACCCTTTTTTATATACTTAACACCATTATAAATGCTGGAGGCAAAGCGGGGTTTGGGGTGGAGGCTGACAGCTCATGACCCCCCATGTAATAACCTCGCGACCCCCTGAGGGGTCCCAACCCCCAGTTTGAGAACCCCTGTACTAATGTGATATATGCCATCATATGCCAGCAATGCCCCTCTGCCAAGTACATTGGCCAAACCGGACAGTCTCTATGTAAAAGAAAAAATAGACACAAATCAGACATCAGGAATGGTAACATATGAAAGCCAGTAGGAGAATACTTCAATCTCTCTGGATATTCAATAACAGATTTAAAAGTAAAGGAGTACTTGTGGCACCTTAGAGACTAACCAATTTATTTGAGCATGAGCTTTCGTGAGCTACAGCTCACTTCATCAGATGCATACCGTGGAAACTGCAGCAGACTTTATATATACACAGAGAATATGAAACAATACCTCCTCCCACCCCACTGTCCTGCTGGTAATAGCTTATCTAAAGTGATCAACAGGTGGGCCATTTCCAGCACAAATCCAGGTTTTCTCAAAAGTAGCCATCCTGCAACAAAAAAACCCTTCAAAAACAGACTTCAAAGAGAAACTGCAGAAATGCAATTCATTTGCAAACTTAACACCATTAATTTGGACTTGAATAGGGACTGGGAGTGGCTGGCTCACTACAAAAGCTATTTTCCCTCCCTTGGTATTGACATCTCCTCATCAATTATTGGGAGTGGACTACATCCACCCTGATTGAATTGGCCTTGTCATCATTGATTCTCCACTTGTAAGGTAACTCCCTTCTCTTCATGTGCCAGTATATTTATGCTTGTATCTGTAATTTTCACTTCATGCATCTGAAGAAGTGGTTTTTTACCCATGAAAGCTTATGCCCAAATAAATCTGGTCGTCTTTAAGGTGCCACCATAATCCTTGTTGTTTATATCAGGGGAATTGTTAAACAGGTCTATCAAAGGAATATGTATTTGATTTTCTGACAAGCCCAATATTCAGACGAAGATAATGAAGGTCCATTTTAACACATAAGCAGTAGACAGACCATCAAGACAGCAGGGGGAGAAGATGGCAGGAAACAGAACAATTTGCATTTCAGCAAACACAAGGAGGGGAAAAAAGAGCATGGAACTTCCTTCACCGCCAGACTCCATGTTGTCTTCCTCACTGCTTGAATAAACTTTACTTTGAGGGGTAACTCTCAGAAGAATCCATTTCAAAGGTTCACTGGTCTAAAAAGATATGGGATCTGAATCTCAAGTGATAAGCAACTGAATCAACTGATTGTATACAATGTTATCGTATTATAAGAGTGAGGTCTCTTCTGAAAGCTAATGACACATTGGTGATTAATATAATTGTGAAATGTATGTAATAACACTATGTAAGGAGTTATGTATAGCAATGGATATTAGGCTGTACAATCTGCCCAGACAGGTGGGAATGTCAAAGCTATCTACCTGTCTCTTATGTAAATTAAGCATGGTGGAATGAGAAACAATGGAAGCCCCATTTACACAGAAATCATACAGCAGGATGGGAAGCTCACAGAAAGGGAAGAACAGCATGAGTTCATCCTGCCACTTGAAAGAACTGAACTTTGGAAGATATAAGCCAGGAGAGAAGCCATCTTGGGCATCCATCACTAGACAGACAGAAGAGGCCAGAGCTCTTGCAAGCTGAGAAAGATGGATCCTTCAAAGAAGGGGGAAGGAGAGAAGCTGAACTCTCTGGAACTGAATATAGGTGAGAAATTGGCTTAGGGAAAGATCTTTCGTCTGCAAAGACCAGGGAAACCAAACCCATTTGCTTTGTGGAAGGTCCTGACTGACGGAAAGTCAGCCATGGCTGAGAAGAAGAATGACTAGTGAGAGAAACCATCTTGAACAAAGCCTTTATCTTGCTAGATTAAGTATTAGACTTTTAGATGTGTGTTTTCATTTTTATCTGCTTGTAACTATTTCTAACTTTAATCCTTTTATGTAACATCACTGTCTCCACCTATGTCTTATTGTTAATAAATTTGTTTTATTTTACTATAATCCAACTCAGTGCTGTGTTTAAAGGGAAGGGTGTATTTACCCATTTAAGTTAATAAGCTTAGATGTGATTTTATCTCTTTACAGGAGAAATGAATCTTATTATTTCTTTGAGCTGTTCAGGAGACGGCTGGATACTTCAGAACACATGGTTTGGGGGAAATTTGGGACTCAGAGCGTGTTGGGGCCATCTTGCTAGTTGTTACCAAGGCTGGTAGAAGGCAGAATGAGGCTGTGGGGCTGTAGACAGGCTGCTGAAGTCAGAGTTACTGGACCAGGCTGTTGAGCCCACAGAAACTCAGGGTGTGACCTGCATTCTTGTAGACTGATTGTGAGTGGCTGAGGATGGGAGCTCCACTTCAGCAGCAAAGCACTGTTAGGCATGCAGGGTTTCAGGACAAGTGGTGACACAGAATCACAGAATATCAGGGTTGAAAGGGACCTCAGGAGATCATCTAGTCCAACCCCCTGCTCAAAGCAGGACCAATCCCCATTTTCTGTTCCAGATCAACTTCACAGCCCCCTCAAGGATTGAACTCACAACCCTGGCACAACCCCTCACTGCTCTAGATTGCATCCCTGGACTCTGACCGGACAGTGAAAGGAGGTAATCGGGAATAGCTAATAGTTAATCTGCTTTAAATTCACATCCTACTTTATTCTGGATTAATTTTCATGTTTACGCAAACCAATGTAATACGAAGGCAAAGAGCGCACTTCTATAGTGTGAGTAGAATTGAAGTGTAATTTGAAGATGCTGCAGTGCGAGAGGGTAATTTTCAGCCACTGTAGTGTGAGTGGGAGAGAAGGGTAGTTTGTATATGTTTGTAGACATACCATGGGCGTAACAGTGTAAAAGCCAAGAGGAGCGGACACGTGCATGCAGAAATGTGAGGGGAAGAAGAGAAGGATACTTTTCAGAGGCTCCCTGGGTGCTCTATTGTGAGTGGGAACAGAAGAGAAATGACAGAGGGTACCTCGGTACTGCAGTAGGACTGGGAGGGGTGGGTAAATTGCAGGTAATTCCAGAGTGCTGTAGTGTGAGCATAGGATAATGTGTAGACTCTCTCTAGGAGCTGCAGCACAAGTGGGGGGAACTGTATAGGGGCTCGCTGGATGCTGGAGTGAGAGTGGAGGACACTTAGCAGATGCCTCTGTAGCTCAGTGATAAGTGCTGCAAAGTGATTCCCCCCCTCCCCCCCCCGTTTTCAAACTATAGTACTCCCAGAGTGCTACAGAGTGAGTAGAAGGGTGTTTTCAGGGAGTCCCTGAGTTCTGCAGTGTAAACTGAGACTAGTTTGTGGACACCAGCTGGGTGTTTCAGTATGAAACAAGGGGTGTTTGCAAGTGGTTCCCAGTACTGCAGTGTAGTTAGAAAGGACTTTGCAGATGGTCCCTCTTCCTTCTGCAGAGTGGGTGGAGGGGCGCTTGCGGCGGGTCCCTGTTCTGCAGTGTCGCCGGAGCGGAGTTTGCAGACGGCCCCTGCTCCGCCTCCTCCCCTCGGGCCCCGCCCGCCCCGCGCGCTGGCCGTTCCGCGGGGGGAGCGCAGCCGGCTCCTCATTCATGCGGCGGGGCTGGGAGCTGGCCGCGGCGGATCGCCCGTAGAGCGCGGAGCCCCCCCCCTCCCCGCCTGTGAGCGGCCCCGGCGGCGCTGGCCTCGGGCGGGCGGATCGGATCGGGGGCCATGCGGTGGCTCCGGGGGGCCCGCGGGGCCTGGCGGCTGCTGCCGCGGCGCTCGCTGGTGGCCCTGCTCTTCCTCTTCTCGCTCTCCTCCTCCTTCCTCTACTTCGTCTATGTGGCGCCCGGCATCGGTGAGAGGCCGCGGGGGGCTCCGGGGGATGCGCCGGCTCCCTCAGCCGCGGGGCGCGCGGGCGGGCGCGGCCCCTCGACGCGCCGGGCCAGGCTGGGCTGGGCTGGGTGGGGGTTCGCGTATGGCCCTGCCCCTCCCCCGCTCTTGGGGGCGGGAGCGGCGGGCGGAACCGGTGCCAGGCCCGCGGGATCCGCGCCAGCCAGAAACTTCCAGAGAGCCCGGCCCGTGCCGCTGGCCAGCGAGGCTCGTTCCCCCTCGGAGGCCGTGAACCCTCCTCCTCCTCGTCCGGCCAGGTTCCGAGGCCGCCCGGCGCTGGGCTGGCCGGCACCTGGCGCCGCCGGGGGTGGGGGCGCGTAGGGGACACGGCTAAACAGGCGGCTTCAGGAGCGGGGTTTGCCCCCGTAGTCTCCAGACGTCGTAGGGAAAGACCGCAGAAGCGGGTGGTTTCTGCTCGTACAGTTTTAGCCAGGGTTAGCTAATGGGGTGACAACGCCGGGAGAGCAGGAAATGCTCCGTAATACGCCCGAGAGCTTGGGGTGGGTGTTTTTTTTTTTTTTTCCCCCAAAAATAGAAAAATGACACAATCTCTATGTCCGGTGTAGTCCCTCGTGCCAGGGGGCAGGGGAGAGCATTGGAAGAGGAAGCAAGTTTGTAAAGCTGATGAGCAATGACACCATTTTCCCTTTCAAACTGCGGTCAACCAAATAGCTATTCGCTTTAGAGGCACCTAGGCTATGCAGTTAGACTATTACTAATTCAGTCTGGTGACTGAGGGTCTTACTGCTAACTACTGAGTTATGAAAATGGTAACTGTTTTTAAAAAATCAAGAATGCTGTATTATCAAATGTTCTCCAGTTGATTAGTTGGACAAGTTTAGTTTCTAATCCAGTACATGGTATACTAGGTATATTTTGTGGAAGAGTTAACTTGTTTTTTCAGAGACTGCACCACATCCTGATAAGCCTTTTCTGAGAAAAGGAATTCGGGCAGTTTTCTTGGGTTAGAGCAGGGGACCCCTCAGGCGAGATTATTGTATGGGGGATCGTGAGCTGTCAGCCTCCACCCCAAACTCTGCTTTGTCTCCAGCATTTATAATGGTGTTAAATATATAAAAAACTGTTTTTAATTTATTGGGGGTGGGGGGTCCACACTCAGAGGCTTGCTTTGTGAAAGGGGTCAGCCGTACAAAAGTTTGTGAACCACTGGGTTAGAGTTATCCTGTTTGTGCATAAGCTAGTTCCACTGTCTAGTGCAAACTGTTGATTTGAAACTGAAAATTCATGGTGTGGGTTGCACCTTCTAATGTGAACAGCTTTCAATCATGTTAGAAATGAAATGCAACCAGTGTGCTTAACTAGCAGTTCTGAGAGTGTCCTGGGTTGATGGTCAAGCTTGCTATAGAGATTAGTTATATAATGTTAGTATTTTCATCACCTTCAGCATACTTTAGAACACCCACTATTTCTAACACGCAGAACTGATCCGTTTAGGTTCTGTTGGTATAATATGAAAACTGGAAGGAGGGAGATATGTTCCCTATGTGTGTTACATTTAGTAGCTGTAAATTAAGTCTTGGAGACTTCAGGTGCCTAATACAGCATAGATTCACATGAACATAAATTTGTATAATCCATTATTTTCTTTTTTGGTTAAAATGCAGTTTGGTTTCAGCGATTAAAAATATTTCTTGAATTGGTTTATGAGTAGATCATTAACTTTTTGGTAACAGAATATGGAAATCAAAAAAAGCCCATGTATATATAAAAACCTGTAATGCGAAGTATGTGTCATGCATTATTCCAGCCTTGCAAAATTCTACTTTTTCCTCTGATCTAGGACAAATATTTCTGAATTCAGAAAATGTTCAGAAAAAATTTAGAATATGTTCACTTACCATCAATCCACCTTACTAAAGGATGGGCTGGTAAATACACAATTTTCCAAGACTGCATTACTTCTGTTCCAGTTTCTGAACTCTAGTTGAGTCTGGGCCCTCATTTATGGCCTGCTATGTATTCAATTCTGAAGCCACTAATTTCCTGATTATTGGAGAGTTCATTGTAAATGAGTTAAGGTTTATCAAAAAAGTGTTAATGATTTAAACTCCTTCCAACAGAAACCTTCTCCTCATTCTTAGAATGTCTCAGTGTGAAGTTTCAGAGCTACAGCTCACGAAAGCTTATGCTCAAATAAATTTGTTAGTCTCTAAGACTAACACAAGTACTCCTTTTCTTTCAGTGTGAAGTGTATACTGTCCTTTAAGGAGCTAAAACTTCCCTCTTGCTAGTCAACCATAGTGCACCACATGCATGCATGGTGGAATGGGCAGCCACACGCCAAAATGCAATGGCGAGTAAAGTACACCCAAAATGTTGTCTGAGTTCCGTCAGAATCCTTTAATCTCCTGCCTTTTTCTACAACCTTATTCTTATCCAGGGGTTGGGTAGTAATGGTGGCCTATCTCTGTATTGTATCCACTGTAGACATCTGCAGTGCTATCTGAAAGTTTGGTATGCACATTTACCAGCATGACTTTATTGACTTGGCAGCTAGAGCTAATGCTCTGAGGGAGGGGAGTTCTGCAATCCTTGACAAATTATAACATTCCAAAATGACAATGTGGAAGCAATAGAGAAGTACTGTCTAGTTCTTATTTGGGGAGAGTCTGAAGTGATGAGGAAGGGCTTGGGGAAAGTTAAGATTGGTGTGTCTCTAGTTCTTAAGTAACTGTGCTGTAGTTCTTAATAGCTCTGCTGAATGGGGAGTGAGGTGGAACTGTAGTAAACATTTTTATTCTGAATGCATCCGATGAAGTGAGCTGTAGCTCACGAAAGCTTATGCTCAAATAAATATGTTAGTCTCTAAGGTGCCACAAGTCCTCCTTTTCTTTTTGTGAATACAGACTAACACGGCTGCTACTCTGAAACCTGTCATTTTTATTCTGTAACTCTAGCAATGTTTGAACTATCTGAGGCTTTCTTTAGCAAAGCAATGAGCTCGGTCTGTTTTTTCTTACTCTGTGAAGAACCTGGAGAAGTCTCTGTCCTAGTTCTAGCCCCTGTTGGATGCCTCAGTCAGGAGAGGTTGAAAGAGATCTTTCAGCCAGTCAGCTATAGAATATAAAAGGTGGGGCTGATCTGCTGAACGTTTAATCCAATACACCTTTGTATCATTTTGTATTATTGTAGTCTG